AGTAGGGCTGCATTCCCTTCTGGTGCTTTGAGGAAGGAAAATCTGTTCCTTGCCTCTTTTGGCTTCTGGTGTCCCCAAACCTTTCTTGGCTTATCTCACATGGGGATGCAGGTGATTGCACTTAGAGTCTGCAATGGACTGAAAGCCTGGGTCCCCCAACAAATTTCATATGTTGAAATCTTAACCCCCAATATGATAGTATTAGAGGTTGGGGCATTTGGGATATAATTAGATGATGAGAGTGAGGCCCTCCTGTGTGGAATTTATGCCCTTATTAAAGGCACATAAAAGCTCTTTTACTGTCTTCTCATATTCTAAGAATAGAAGGGAAAGTTGGCTGTCAGCAAACTAAAAGAGGGTGTCAACAGAACCTGATCATGTTGTCACCCTATCTTGGACTGTCAGCCTCTACAACTGTGGAAAATAAATTTATGCTGTTATAAGTCACGCAATCTGTCATACTTTGTTACATATTATCTATGATATTTTGTGATAGCAAACCAAAATGAAAATGACAAAGCTCAACCATATAAGTTCTTCTCTCAAGATCCTTCACTTACTCACGTCACAGATAATGTCCACTATTTTGCCATATAATTTACTACTAACAAGTTCAAGAGATTAAAGATGAATATATCTTCAGGGGCCATCATTCCACACACTATAGTACTGGTCACATGAAATTGTTTAAACTGAGTGGGCCCCAAAGTACCACTAGTATTCAGCTACTGAGAGGGGTGGCCTGAGAGAGCAGTCCCTATTCAGGAACAATCTTTCTGAACCTCCTGATGAGCCATGTGGTAATGCATGTACAGTTTATGCCACTCTGTTGTCCCCTGTGTTCATCTCTACACACTGTGCTTTGTCCATCAGGTACTTCTGTTTCTGAAATAGCTCAGTGATAGGACTGCAACCAGTGGAGAAACTTCCCAGGTAGGGGTCTTTTGTTGGCCCAGGTAAAAGTGTTAACTTTCTTCATGAAACTTATGATGCCTGCATTCTCCTCAAGGTTCACAAGGGTGGTGATAAGTGGTAAGCCATATGGATACTTCTGTTGCTGACAAAGGCCCAATTTCCCACCATGGCTGTGAATTCCCATCAGGTCAGTACTGGAGATCAGAAGAGCTGACGTCAGGATTTTGATCAGAGTCTCTCTGTACTTATAGGTATTTGTGAGATTCAGTGAATGTTTGATAATGTGCGTTTATTTTATGTGTTCCTTTGCATGTTTTTTTTGTATGTGTCAGGTTGCTCAAGGTAATGCCTAAAAATCTTTGTATCATGTTGTTTTGCAGTGTGAGTGGATCCCTGTCCTAAGTGGTACCTATTTTCTATCTTTGACATCTCTGAGTGATACTCTGTTGGATTATCTGTAAAAACATGACATCTATGAGTCATGCTGAGTTGGGTTCAGTGTGAAGAATATGATTCTCCAGGAAAAAGCTAGAAATGGAGGCCTGGTCACATACCCCTGGCCAGGAACTGGGAGAGAAGAAAGTAGTCAGATAAGCCTGTTTATCCATACTTTGAAACATTCTGTTATATGGTCTTGTGATTGTTTCTGCCTGGTACTGTGGTCTCTGAAAGCAAAAGAATAGCAGAAATGTCCCAGTGACTTTTCGCTTTTGGACCTGGGACTCAGAATATACAGTGTTTATTGTACTGATTATTTGACTGTGTGTGTGTGTGTACATGGGATTTCACCCAGGCACACATAATCACTGAGGCACATCTCCAGCCGTTTGTATATTTTATTTTGAGCCAGGGTCTTTCTGAGTTTCTCAGGACTTTGCTAAGTTGCTGAGGCTCTCCTTGAACTTGTGATGCTCCTGTCTCTGCTGGCATTATAAGCATGTGCCACCACTCATGGCTCATTATTTGCCTTCTAATTAAGGAAGTGATGTGAGGTGTTTTTTGTTGTTGTTGTTGTTTGTTAGTTTGTTTTTTTAAGCAAGCCTACTAGGTCAAATTCCTCCTAATATTATCTGTTGTATTTCAAATCTTTTACCCAGGAGACTCTATGCTGCCAAGATTTTAAGACTAATTAACATATTTCCAGGAACATTTTCAGGGATGTTATGATTTTCTCAAGGTTGGCAAATATTAGGCTCTGACATATGGCATTATTTGAGGCCTGGCCAAATGTTACTGAGGAATTTGCAGAGCAGGTCTTTGGTCTTGGACATTCACCTAGGAGACAGGCATGCAAAGAAGAATTGGAAGGGAGCTGATTTAAGCATCTAGTTGTGATGTTCTACCACATTACAGGGGACCTACTGATAGCAAGCCCGGCCAGCATGGTAAAAAATATCAGGACAGCTAGTCCTAAGAACCATCAGCCCTTCTGTAGCCCAAAACCTGAAGGCTACATTCAAGGAAGCAGGAGCAGGACAGAGTAATGGACATTGGGACTTTACAAGCCCCTGAAGTATAGGAAAATTGCTGGGAGGAGAAGTAAGTTTAGGTAAATATGAACTTGAATTTTTTAAAAAGATAAAAACCTAAATCTTAGTCACTAAAATAAACAAAGGCAGACGAAGGAACTGGGAAAGAATGGTCACCCTCACTGTTTCCATTCATCACTGTACTGGAATTGTTAACCAGTGCAATGAGGCAAGAAAAAGGGAAAAAAAGAAAAAGGAAGGGAAGAAGGAAAGAAAAGAAAGAATGAAGTAACTCCCATGATTTTAGATTACATGGTATCTAGGTAGAAAAACTAGAAGAATCTATAAACTACTAGAATTTAAAAAATAAGATTACTAAATATAATAGGATCATATACAAAATTACTTATATTTCTATGTGCAACAGTAGAAAATAATTGTGAAGAATACATTATTTTTAAAAACCTCTCATCCACCAAAACAAAATATGTGAAATCACTAAGCTAAAATAATTAAAACATACCAAGAAAATTGTAGGAAATCCTAGTTAAATAAAGAAATACACTATGATCATTGAAAATTCAGCAGTAAATTGTCAAATCTGCCTAAGTAAATTGGTAGGATTAATGAATGAGGTCCTAATGAAAACATCATCAGGTTTTTGTAGAAGCTGAGGTGCTACTCAAAAATTATCTTAAATTTTTTTAGCTAACAGAAGAAAAATGCTGGGAGGCTTCCACAGCCACATGTCAGTTCCTACTACATTTGCACATTAATTAAGATAGTGTAGTGTTTGGCGAAAGAATCAACACACAGACTGGAAGAATAGAATAAGATAATAGAATAGAAAGTTCAGAAACAGACCCACACATAGTCAGCTGATGTGCAAAAATGAACTACTCCAATTAAGGGAGGGAACATGGTTTTCAAGCAAATTAGCACTGTATCAAGTAGGTACATATTAAAGACATGTGGAAGGTTTAGCAATATAGCTTTCAAAAAACAACATATAGAAGAATAGCTTCATGATTTGAGAACAAGCAATGATTTCTTAAATTAAGCACAAAAAGCACAACTTTGAAAGAAAATATGACTAAATGAGATTTCCTTAAATTTAAGAAATTCTTTTCATCAAAAGTCAACAATGGAAGTAAGTAAAATACTGGAAAAATATTTGTGGTATACATAAAAAATATATTTTGAATGTAAAAGTAAACAATATTTTTATGAATTTAAAAAATATTGTCTAAAGAAACACACAAATGACTCTAATAGGTATCTCACAAGAGAAGATGTCCAGACATCTGATTAGCATATGAAAATTGTCTTACTGGGAAAAGAGATTCAAGCCAGAGGGAAGTAAAACTTTGTATTCACAAGAATGGCTGAAATTACAAGGACTGAAAGTGTCACCTCTTCACAAGTATGTGCAGTACCTAGGATCCACACAGTTTGATGATGGGAGCATAAGTTTGTATGGACACTTTGGAAAACTATAGTATTACTGAAGCTGTATGCGTACTTGCCCTGTGACCTGCTGACTTTGCCCTGAGTAGAGAGCCAAGAGAAATTAGTAAGCCATGCATAATAAAACACACAGAAATGCTCATGAGGGTGTTTTCTTAATGGCCCAAATTTATAAGCCAAGTGTCCATTAATAATAAAAGAGGAAAACTGAGGTACATAAATATAATGCAATTCTGCATAGAAATGAAAGCAAACTTTTGCTACCTGTAATGGTGGAAAAGTCCCACAGCTAGGCTTTAGAGTGAATAAAGAGCAAGATATAAAACAGAACATACAGGATGGTTGCCTCTGTATCATAACAAATAAAAAACAATATATGATGGTAGGGGTTAGGATAGTATTTACCTTTGGAAATATCAACTAGGAGGAGATGTAAAGGGGCTTCTAGGTTACGAAAATTGTCCCATAGCTTAACCTAGAAGATGGCTACATAGATGTATGTGTATGCACTCATGAATCTGCTCACTTGAAATTTATGTTCTTTACCTAGTTAGTATCTAATTTAAAGGGAACTAGAATTCAGAAATAGAGATACATATAGGTCATTTTGATATTTGAGACTGGCTGAGAAGCCATGGAAGAGGATACTATGGAGATTTGTTACCCTGGAAACCCTCCACCCAGAGAGAAAAGAGAGCACAACAGAGCACACAATGCATTTGTAGTAAGTGGATAAGTGAACTCAGTTTATTTTTGTACCTGAACAAGGACTTACAAAAATGCCATAGCTTAATTACATGAGATAATCATTGAAAGATAGAAAAATGTAGCATCTTGCTCAAAGTGAACGTTTAAAATGTATTATTAATTTTACCACGCAACTCCTAAAACTATCACTTTATGTTGTTGTTAGTGTTCATTATTAGTGTTTTGGACTGAAACAGAAATATATGTTGCTCCATTATCAGCCTCTTCTCATTTCTCTCCTCCCCATCCCATCATTCAATCCCTTCTCCTCATTTTCTGCAATGCTCCAAAAAAGGAGCAACTCATGACTAGGTGTGGAAAATTGATGTCTTCACCTTCAGAGCAGACTGTCGGTCTTCAGGGTGCAGTAAAGTCACAGGGGGAGCTGAGGGGCACGTGGCCTCAGGCAGGGAACTTGCAGACTGCCAAAAAGGAGGAGGAGCAGGTGGCGTCATTCCAGGTGCCATCCAAGAGCATCAGCACACAGTGTTCCCCAGAGTCAGTGTTGTTGGGCTCACCCTTGTTCCAGTTTCGGTAGGTCACTCTCCTTCCTGCCATATCCACAAACTGGCCTTCATTCTCCTTATCTGTTATGCCTAGGAAGGCAGAGTCTTTGACCAAACTCTGGATGGCCTGATTCTCTTCAGCGTTGGGTGGTGGCCATGGAGGCCTGGAATTGGGCACACAGAGCCTTAGCACTGTCAAAATTTCTTGTTTTGCCACTGTTCCAGAAGAACTTCTTTCCAACTTTTTTGGTGACAGAAAACTGTGGTAAGCCATTCTTATAGATCGTGGCCGCCATTAGAAGATGGCGCCGGCTTCCACTGTGGCCTGTGGTAAACAACTCCTTTTATGGAGAGTTGGCGCGCAATTCCTTACCGCCCTATGAGAAAGATCCACGTGGCGGCTTAAGATTGGTATGCGGGAGGCTTTATTAGGCTATGCTTGGGCGCTCTGCGGCGGGTCACTAGAAGATGATACTTGAATCAAGGCCTGAATAAACTGCTGAAAGAAGAATCCTGTGTCGTGTTTTCCCTTGCCGGCCAGGGGTCGCGACAGAAAACCATAGCACTAAAATGGGAAAAAGTAGATAAAACTGGCTTGTTTTAAACTCCTGTCCACTGTATGTTTAGGAGTTAAGTTTTCTACAGTAGACTTGTCAGATAAAATAAACTTAAATTCAAATTAAACTAGTATATTCTGTTTTTGTTAAGGCTCACAACCTTAAAAGGAAGGGACACCCTGGCACACTGGATCAGAAGTCTAGAACACAAATAACTTGGAATTCTGAATCCTACGACACCATTAACTGGAGACTAAACAGAAACGTCTCAGCCTATTTGGCCCCAGTCAGAAAGAACAAGTTTGGTCCCATTGCCAGGTCTAGAAACCAGCATAGCAAAGGGGCATAGATACCATTTCCAGTGAGAAAAGATCAGAGTACAGGATTAGAGTCTCCTAAGTCCAACTGATTTCAGTTGATAAACCAATTTTTACCACTTATAAGCTCTATTGTGCATTTGAGCAAGAAATTTAAATTCCTTTTGCCTTCATGTCTACTTGAGGGGGCTTGTGAGGACTTTATGATACCAGAATAAAAGAAATGTCTACCCAGGTACTAGAAAATTATATATATATTAAATAAATATTCACTGACTTTCACCATTCCCTCATTTTAAGGTGCTTAAAGAACAAGAGAGAAAACTTACACTTTTTGATGCTTTCCAATTCTGCTTTGAAAGCTGCTCTTTCAGAAGAGCTCTGCTAGTGTCACATGCTAGAAAATTAAAACAGAACAAAGGGGTATTGTTGAGAAGGAGTCCCAGAATGTACACATAAGGGGGTGGGTACTTTTTAAAAAATAGTTTCTTTTACATTGATGTATAAATATTGAAGGAAGATGAAAAATACTAAGAAGCAAAAAGAAGAAAAATACCTCCATTTCCACACAGTCCAAAACATCAGTCTTCATCTGATGACTGTTCTAAAGACACCTTTAAACACCCATGCACACATGCACTCCCTGGTTACCTCACATGACAGAAATCTACAGCCAAAGCTCTTCAATACATTTTTCCCCCAATAAATTGCTAAAACAAACCTCAAAGGCAAAAAGAAACCTTTGAAGGAATTTTTATTATTTGAGTAAGGAGATTCTGAGGCAAGTTGTATTTCATTGATGGCAAAAATAGCAGCTTCTATCATAAAAAAAAAATAGAGGCTATTTTGACACTCTTTGAAACTAGGTCAGATTTGTGACTTAATAGGACCAATACAGTGTGGCAGAAATGGTAATGTATGTGTTGTGAGCATCAGGAAGCCTTGACGATTCTATTCTTTTTACAACTTGGAATCTTAAAACTTCTGCTATTTGAACAAGCCCTGGCTGGCCTGTCAGATAAGAGGTCCGTGGCTCAATTAATCTCCTCAATCCAGCTGACACCCACATATGAATGAAACCATGGACCATCCATCAGTTGACCACAGACTGAGATCAGCTAAAACCAGAATGTCTGTGGCTGACCCACAAAATTGTATTTAAATAACTGGTTGTGTTTTGAACCCACTAAGGTTTGGTTTGATTGATTTGGTTTGGTGAAGAGATAACTGCCATTACATGGATGTACTTTCATGGGAAAAAAGACATATTAAGTCCACACTCAGTTGTCCTACTTTCTCTCTCTGGGCCCAGGGTATGCTTGGTGAGGAAGCAGCCCTGAGAGATTAGTAAATCTGTACTTAGGCATTGGTGGCAATGCCTCGAGGCTCCAAGTAACCTAGAGTGGGCTGAGGGGGCCTTGGGACAAGAAGCAGAGTCAGGCCTCTTCCCTTAAAGTGTCAGTAAAAGGACACCTCCCACCTGATATTTTGGGTTCCAGAACTCTGAGCACCTTTAATTCAATCTTCTCTAGATGGATCTTACCTGGACATGTTCCAGGGTCTCCCTTTTTACCCACTGCCCCTTTTGATCCAGGGGGACCTGGGGGGCCTGCAGGTCCTAAATTTCCAGGTGGGCCTTGGAAGCCTCTGAGCCCTTGACCTGTTGGAAGATAAAGAAAACATGACTCATTATCTGTGCTTTTGCTTTCTTTTCCCAAGAACTTGGTGTGGAATCCCTTCCCAGAGAAAGGAGACATTGACTCAGGGCCAACCTCTGAACCCCTGATTCCAATGACTCAGAGAAGAAATAATCCTCCTGTGTTCCAAGGGGGAGCCTACACTGAAAGATGCTTTTCTGGACAGGCAAGACAACAAATGTCACAAAATGATGGGTGGAGGTCTGAAATGGCAGAGGACAGGAGATGCATCTCTGATTTGAGTTATATTATATAGCAGAGAAAACCTTAACCTGCCTAGATAGGACATTCCTCCTGTTTCCCCAGCCAGTTATATCTGGAAGGTAAAGAGTCACACAGCTGGAAGAGCCAACAGGTACCTGGTTCTCCCTTTTCTCCCTTGGCTCCATCACGTCCATCTTTGCCTGGGAAACCGTTCATGCCTGGAGGAATACAGGCCATCACAGGGCAGGTCTTTTGAACTTCCTCATTGGTTACAGTATCTGATGTCACCAGACACAGAAGAAGGAGAAGGAATGGTAGAAACAGGAACATGGTCCTCAGCTTACTATGAGATAAGTCAAGAAAGATTATCTTGTTTAGTTAAGCAGCCCATAATTGCCACACATGCCCTTTGTCCTGAAACTTGGGCACAGGCAAAGAATTAGTAGGTGACCCCTTCCTGGCCTCTAGATTGAATATTTAGAAAAGGAAACCTTCCTTGTAACATTGTTGATTAATATTTTAACAAAAGTCAGCACAGTGACATGCAGCAGGGGCCTTAGAGGGCACCACCAGAGCCCAGGCCTCTGTTGTTGCTGCTAGAAGACAGGGAATATGCTGCCTGTGGCTGTGAGAGCAAAACCACATTTTCACTCACTCATGGCTATTGGCTGAAGAGGTGGGAAAGCAGGAGTACCAGGTGTCTGCAGAAGCTCCCTCTCTCCCCCCACCTCCCTTTGTTCCATCTGCAAACCAAACCCCAGGTTCATATCTGTGCAGATGATTTCCCTCCAGAGCCACTCAACTCTCATTTATTCAGTTCTAGGCACTAAGTTGCAGACAGTGATACAGAGAGTAAGAGTTAGGTCCCAGTTTCAGATCAATTCATCTTCTAGTCACTAACCTACCCCAGAAATAACTTTTGATTGTGCTTTTGATTGGTGTTTTATTTCCCACAACAAAACATCCCACTAGAAACTTCTCAATACCTTTGCCCCAAAACACTGCTAGATCCCTTTCTACTTCCCTTCATGTTTCCCCTATATTTTCTGAGTTAGAATCTTTGGCAATTAGACAAACTGCCACTCTCTCCTTTTTCAAAATCTCTGTCTTCCAAAGCTTTCTTCCAGTTATTCCTTGCTGGGAAAGCATAGCAACCCAATCCCATGGAAGTAATGCTCCATGGCTCTCTTTGAAAACAGAGGCAGTCTCCTTTGCAATAGATAATTAAGGAAAATTGATGGTGTGGTTTTCCCCAATATGATTTCTGTCTGTTTGTGCCTCTGCCCATTACCTGTCGAAAGCCTCCTCCATGTCTCTAGAGTCAAGTTGAGCCCCTAGACTCTTGATCAAGGAACACATATCAACATAAAAGACTTACTATGAGGCTTCTTCACAGCAGGATTTCAGCAACACAGAAGCTGGCCCTCCAGCCTGGGACTGGCAGATGCCTCAGAGCAAGGAAGGAGGCTGGGCTTAGCAAAAAACCTTGCCAAAAGGGTTAACCTGGACCTGGCCTTTAACCTCAGATTAATAAACAACTCTTTCTAGGAGACATTAAACTCCTCTACAGAGCATTCCCTGGGGCCTCCAGCACAACACTAGGTGGCTGTCTGCTTTAATACAGCACAATCCTTCCTTTGTCAACTCTTTTGCCAGTTCTCACTGAAGATTTACCACGAGCACAGTTGACTGGTTAGCCATGTCAAGGTCCTTGTCTCCAATAGAGAAAAATACAGAAACCTATGAATGTACACTCATTTTCTCTTGCACACCAGCTGTACACACAAGTGTGTGCATATGCACATACATTATCTGTGAAGGCATGGCAGACCTCTTGCTGCCATTGGACAATGGTTCTTGCCTCAGGCTCCACACTGGACATCTCACTGCCTGTAAATGCCCTCCCTTCAGTGCAAGGTGGGCTGGCTCTTTCCATTCTTTTAAAATATACCTATCTCAGAGATTTCTGTCTAATCTTACATAAACTAGTCCTACCCAGCCTCTCTGTCCTCTTAGCTTGTATTATTTTCTTTCATATTTACATTTATATACACTTTCATTTCATTCACATTTACACTGTGTCAAATAATAGTCATTTATTTTTCTGTTTTTATGTCAGACTTTAACATTTTGTCCATTATTAAATGTACAACTCAGTGGCAGCAAGAACATACAGACTGTTGAGCAACCATAACTATTTTCTATCTTCAGAAAATCTCATCATCACGAACTGAAACTCTTTTCTCATTTGAATAGTAACTGTCCATTTCCAACCCCATCCAACTGCTGGTAACCACTTCCACCCTCTGTCTACATGAATTTAAATTTTCTAGGCATCTCATATACTTGAAACCACGCAACGAGTTTCATTTTGTTCCTGACTTATTTCTTTAGCAGAATATCTTTGTTTCATCTGTGTTGCAGCATGTATTGTAATTTCATTCATTTCTGAATCTCAATAGCATTTCACCATAGGTTTATGTCACATTTTGGAAAGTTCAGTTTCAATGACTAAAAATACTCAAAATAACTAAATTATTTTCAACATGTAAATGGATAAACTGTGGTACATCATATGATTGAAAGCACAGGGAAAAAAGGAACAGACTAGTGACTCATGTAATAACTAGGATTAATCTCAAGAATATTATGTTGAGCAAAACAAATTTAATCTCAAATGTTTAC